AATCTAGATAGGCGCTCTATCCTGTGTTGTGACACGAATGCATGGAGTGCAGCATGGGGGCAACCGGGAAATGGAGGGTCATATCAGAGGCGCAGAGGATTGATTTTCGAGGACTGGGCTGTCTCCAAAGGCCTGCATATCATGAATGACCCTGATTCCCAACCAACTTTTCGTAGTCATCGGAACACAGTCGATGGTCGGGATAGTACCTCACATATTGATGTGACACTGTGCTCTCAAGACCTCGTCAGCCATGGGCTGGGAAGTAGCGTGAGCGCATCTAATGTCCGAGATTTCAGATCATGCACTCATCAAGTTCTCTATCGGTGAAGCGACGAAACCAGCTCATGCTCCCCCATGGCATGGGAGAAAGAAGTTTGATGAGGAGAAGTTTGCAGAAATCATTTGTAGAAGTCTCCCCTCACTCTCGGAGCTGCTCCCCTCCAGCTGGCCCTCGGTGGAGACTTTCACCGCTCAAGTCTGCCACAGTCTGCGCGAAACTGTGGAACTGTGTCGCTATAAACCAAAGAGGCGTGAGGAAGGCCGTCCAGTCTGGACCAGACTGTCTGGTGGAACATCGAAGTTGAGCTGATGGTAGCAGAAAGTCGCCTGGTTGCGCAGAAGACTCCAACGGACGAATGGTTCCACGGAAGTCAGGGCAGAGCTGCGGAGAGCAACGAGACAACTGCGTCGGACTAAGAAGAGGCGCCGCAATCAGCATGCCAGAGATGCAGTATCGTCGATAGCAACACCACATGAAGCTCTCCGATACCATCAAAGGTGGAAGGAATCGCGGCGTCCCGCGGTATTATCATACATCTCCGCGAAGGAGCTGACGGAGAAGCTTTTCCCAGGCGAGGAGCCCGACTCTCAGGAACAGTCACCTGCTCGGCAGGAAGTGTGCGGCAATTTGAAGCATCTGAGGTCTTTGCCAGTCCTGGCGGATCCGGTCAGTCGGGAAGAGCTGCTTGGTGGCCTAGCGAAGCTGAATGCTAAATCGTGCTCTGGGGAAGACTGTGTGCCCATCACCGCCCTCAAGCTAGCTGTAGAACGGGGGCCCGTCTTTTTTTTGCGGTCTATTCTCAGCTTACGTGGCCCACCGTAGGATCCCCGGTACTCTGAAGCAAGGATCTGTCATCACACTTCCTAAGCGGAATGGCTGCCCGCCCTGGGAGCCAAAGTCCTGGAGGCCAATCACGATATCGACGGGACTAGCGAGGTTGTTTGATCGCCTCATCTACAATCGGGTGGCGCCCCACATTGAGTTTCCCCCTTGTGTACACGCAGCAAGGTTTGCCTCACGTTTACTTCTGCTTGAAGACTATCTCAGCGGTCGGAGAATCAAACTCTATCACGGCGGCCAGTGTTAATAAAAAAATTTTTCAGAAAAATGCCTTACAAGAGGAACGCCTCAGGGAGGGGTGACCTCTCCATGGACTTACAACTGTTTCATGCTGAGTTTTTGCGAGGCGCTGTCGGCATGGGTTACTATTGTTTATGCAGATGACGATATTGTACTTGTCCGGTATGCGTCCGAGCAGGAGATACAGAGAAGTCTTGACTTGATAGGACGAGCCCTCATGGAGTGGTGCCATAAAGTGAAGGCGATGCTGTCGTGGCCCACGACTCGTGGGGCAAGACCAAACTCATGTGCTTCCCGGGCCGGGGGCCTCACAGATCCCACACCGCATCAGCTGTCTCCTGGGCTGCGTGGGTCCTGCACGCATGTCCCTATCCTTACGACCAGGATCTTGTTGAGCCTTGAGGATGTCCTTCAGGGACCCAAGCAGGGAATTCTGCGAAGTATGCATAGCGTTGATAGCCTTAGTCTGTGATTCAATAAGCGAAGCCAGCTGCTTGTCCTTGTCTGGGGAGTGTTGTGCCACCGCCGCGGGGCACGCATGCTCATCCTCGGACACAGCCGCCGCAGCGTGCTTGGCCGTCCGAGACTGCTTCCCCCTGTAATCCTCTATAATCTGGCAGACCTCAGTCATACCCTTAGGTCGACGCCTTCTCAAAACCGGCCTGGCTCCCTCCGGGGCACAGGCAGTAAGCCGATCCAACAACATACGACTCTTAGCCAAAGGGGGAAGTTTCGCCTCCGCCGGTAACATCTTGTCGTACTCCTCCAGGGCCCGCTTCAAGATGGCCATGAACTGACTGACATGACCCTTCCCGTCCCAAGATAAGGCGTGAAACTTCTCCAAGGCCTCGTCGAGACGAATCAGGTCAAAGAGTCGTAACATCATCTCTCGATCAGCAGCGAAGTCCTTCTTGCCAGCGTTCTCAATGAGAACTTCTCATCCCAAGTGTCAAAATAGGAATCCCTGAAGAAGCTACCCAATCTCTCGGCCATCATGTGCTCATTCCAACCGGCCGCCCTGGCATCTGCCTCGAACCTTCGGAACCAGATCCTTAGGTTGGAGACTCCATCATATCTCTCCGGCATCTGGGCGGTCACCACTTGCAACGTCTGACCAGTGAGGAGAGGCGCCAACATGCCTCTCGTCTGTGATAACTCGGCCTGCTTGTTGTCCTCAGCCGATTCAGTAACCATACTTTGATGCTTCAGTGTCGGGATCGCTTGAGGGGGTGACCTTTCCTCTAACACGCGGTTATACTCTTCAACTGAACGCCTCGCCATCTCGGCCGCCTGCTTAGCCGCCGCCTCACCCAACTCAGCATGAATGAACTCGTCATAGGCCTCCTCAGCTGCCTCCTTAGGATCACGACGCACCAAAGGGGCCCGAGGGCCCTCCCCCTCCGCTCGGGACAGAGTAGGGGTAGAACCAGAAGCTGAACCAACCATCTCGTAGTTGTAATCGTTCGTAACAAGGAGCTGCTACCAAAAAGGTGTCGGGGTATCGGTTAATGAACTCTGAGAACAACACGATAAGGGAACTCGAGCTAGAGCAACCAATACTACGACCCTAGGACAATAACAACAAGCGCACTACCTGCACTCAAGTTCTGTACGAATACACACTCTTAGCAGCACAGTAATCGAT